GGGTGTTAGCCAAGACCACACAGGAGACACTGACTGAGCTGAGAATAGCATTAATCCTTGTTAATTAACCTTGCTGCATAAAACACTGCTAAAAGAAGGAAAGACTACACAGACAGAGTCAAGACATGTCAGAGCATAATTCAGATCCTACAAAGATGAGAGCCAAAGAGGGACAGGACTAAGAAATACAAAGACAGCAAAATCTAAGGCTCCCTTTTCTGACCTTTTTCTTTTCTGGAGATGTGTGGTTACTCTTGTTTTCTCCTTCCACTTCCCGATCACAAGTGAGGGGATCACGTCCAGGTTCCAGCTTCTGTCCATTCCCAGACTCCTGTTCAAAAGGCTTCCACCCCGTCAGGTTGACTCCTGCTGCACACCACAACTAAACAACCAAAGCAAGCATTTTAGTAGGCTAATTATTGGCAAATCTTACAAGATTCAAGTAGTCCTGCAGAACATTCTCTACACAGACCTAACAGTTGCCATACTTATGAGAGAAAAGCTAGACCTGCTAACTTCTAGCAGAAGCCACACTTAGATTTGGATGAGAAAGGAAAGATTAAATCTATTGCCTAATAGAAATCACTACATCTCCATACAGACAACTTAACAGATACACTTAGCAAAAAAAACAGAATAAGGGATAAGTTGGATGAAGGATTAAACTGAGCTTGTGAAAGGACCACAGCACTGCAGTGGAAGTGCTCCCAAATGCTCTCAGCTGAAGAAGCAGGAGGCAGCTGTTATTATCTGATGGGCATTAGGGAAGATTTCCCTAACCAATATCAACAGGGGGTCAAAGAGGATAGGCTCCATATTTGCTAACCACTCTTGACATCCACCTCACTCTAGATTGATTTGGGACAGAGTAACCAGTATTAAGGCAAAACAAACTCTATTATACTTTGGCTGTTCATTGACTGCAGAGGCATGTGATCAGTGACATAGGGAGGGGATTGAGACTGAAAAGTTAATTAGCAGACAGGACTGCTCAGTAACCTCTCCTCTCCTCAGCAAAACCAGTAGACATTAGTTCAGACTTTGAATAAATGATAAATCAAGGTCCCTTCCACCTATCTCTAGCAATTCCAGAAGAGTAAGTTGGAGACCCCAATCCACAGCATTTCAAACAGGAGAAAGAAAAGGACATTCCCAAGTGGTTTGGCCAACATTTCCCTCAGTAATATACTCAGATACAGGTTGGAAAGTGAAAAAGATAAGGGCTGTTCATTTTCCCTATAAAGTTATAGTCTAATGTACTTTTCCTACAGCAACATGACTAGGATTACCCATGAAGCAGGGAATCGGAGTTAGTATATTCATATAAACATTTAGGGCTAGATCTGCAAGCAGGCTAAGTTTACAACTGCATACACAAAGTGCATGCACAATTAACACCATTTCATAGGCAAATAAGGTAATATAATGCACAAATGCCTATACAGGAGCATTTGAGCACACAATTACCAAGAACAGCTTGTACAAATCAATTATGTGCTTGAATTTTTTGAAAATCTCCTTTCAAGCTTAGAGATTGCTTCAATGAACTCATTTTGACAATGTGGTTTCTGAACCAGCAACCTTCACACGCCAACTAGTTTCAGTCAGAAAATAATGCAGTAAGATTTGCTCCCTACTATACTGATATTACATCTACAGGTAACAATAGCCACCTTACCTATACTTATTAATTTTAAAAAAATCAGTGCAAATAAATGATACTGAACCAAGCTGCTTACATAGAAATCACTACAAAATTAATTAATTGTTTTAATAACAACACTTAAACAGCCATAGAAAATCAGCAATACAGTCCACAATTGGAAACAAGGCTTTTAGAGCCTGATGCTACAGTACATGCATAGACAAAGCATACTTTTGTTGCTTATTTAGGATATGTATGCAAAACAAATGCCAAAATAGCCCCTAAGAACAAGGCTTCTTGCAGGCTTGAACAGAGTTGTCATTTTTTCTCTGCAATAGAAACAACCCATTCCACTAAAGACAATTTCCATTACTGTTTATGAGGCTGTGAGGGGTGGGATAATATACCCAAATCCATCAAAACTCTCAAGAGAAAACATATCAAACACGAACACTGATGAGAGATCATTGCCACTCTTCTAATCTCAGCATCAATGTGAGAGTTCTTTTACCACTTAATGTTAAGTTGCAGTTGCAAAATCAACCGGGAATACTAGCCAAACAATAAGAGTCCAAACAAGAGGAGTAGGGAGAAGAATCTGTCTGAGTGACAGACTAATCATCACAGTACAGAACTTTGGTGATAACCTGTCACCTGCATAGACCTGAAGTTACACCATCTACTGCCAAATGCAACTCCGCATGTGACAGATCATTTTCAATCCTTGTAAAAGCAGGCACAACTGCACTGAGGTCCTTCAGCTTACACAGTAGCTAATTTTGGCAACTCTTAGGGATTGCATGCAAAATAAGGCTGAAGAACTATATTTATATGAGCCTTAAGTTGTTCTTACTCACTTTTTTTTTATATCATTTCACTGTATGACACTCTAAGGCTTCTTTGTGAGAATGGCTTTATGAAGTTCAGGTGATTGCCAGCACTGCCTAATTCATTTTTGAAAAGAAGCAAAAGATCTAAAATTGAACTAGACGACTGTCTCTTGGCAACCAGAATCAGCTGGGAATTATGCCCGTATAAAGAGATGTGCTGTTTTCCTACGCACATTAGAAATAAATCATTTTCAGAAGCAAGCAGGAGAAGGAGTCTTCTGAATTAAGGGTTACTTTGAACTGCTGGCCACATCAAAAAATTTAACTGAATAAAAACTGTCTGTGTATCTTAGTAACACACGGTTTGGACCTTTTGTAATCAGAATGGTAGGAAGAAACATGTAACTAAGTGTTTACCTTCATGGTGGGGTCCTTTTCTACCAGTGGGCGACAGTACACAGGAACTGGGACATTTTTCATTCGGGTGTCTTCCTGGCCACCATTGGGACTCAACTATGGGAGAAGAACAGACAGGAGAAGAGTGTGACATCATTATATGCTAGGTGATAAGAACACAAATGCAGCCATCAAGTTGCAATGGAAAGTATCAGCCTTGTAGTTACTCACTGCCAAAGCCTGCATATACTTTGTCTCACTTCTTATGTAGAATGGAACCTCTAATTTCTTGGGATAAGAGTACCTGAAAGATCACCTCTCTTCACCATTTCTTATTGCCATGGTTACAGTTAGCAGAGGCACTGATGCTAGGTCCCCCTTGATGTGACATGAAGGCATGGCTGACAGGGCATGGAACCCAAGACACAACCCTCTAGTCTGAAACAACCACGGGAGATTCACCCACATCCAGAGCATGATGCAGAGCCCATTTCTTTCAGCTGACCTTTGACCAGAAGTAGGTAGGGCATGGTGTAGATCGTTATGCTCTGCTGAGGGCATTTCACCTTGTGCTGCTACTGGGTAGAAAGGGGAGCTGATTGCATTTTAGTCTGTGATTGGTACTGCTTGGTAACTGGCAGGTTTTGGAGTCTGTGACTGGCAGGTTTTCTTTATTTTCATTTGAATAAATAAATAAATAAATTAATTAATTAATTAATTAATTAATGGACTTTAGAAGAAGTTGTTGAATTATTTCTGCTTCCAGATTGAGTCCTCCCAAACACTTCTAAGTAAGAGAATACTGCCTCTTTTCACTTCAATCGACATATACAATGGATTAATTTCACCTCAGCCTACAAATGTGTGTGCGCCTGTAATCCACATACTGAACCAATAAAAAGTGTATTTACCAATGGGAAAGTGTGGTCTTCACTGGTTTCATTTGGGATTGTGATCACCTGTTGTACCTCCTCTGCAAATGTGCCTACCTGCTTGTACTTGGCAGGAAGGCTCCACCCACATGCCTGTAAGCGACCATCATCATTCCGCACATGTTCCCGGACCTGGCGGTACTGCTCGCGTTTCTGTTCGCGACGTGCGGATGATGTACAGTCACTGAGGAGAGAAGCAACAGTGTTACTTCTCAATCTATGGTTAAAAACAGAGGCAGAAGGTCAAGGAGCAGAAGCGCAGGCAGAAGAAAAGTTAGTCAAAAGTCAGAGAACACAAAACAGGAAATACATGCAAGAAATTAGAGATAAAAATCCTGTTGAGAACTGAACCCAGGAAAGTCCTAATGTCTAGCTCCCTTCCATTCCATCTGTTGTAGCATAGTGAGCACTTGTCATCTCCTTGGGAACATTCCTGCAGTTCTTCAGAGAAGGAGGATCAACTGTCTAGGAGAATGTTCCTAGGAGACCAAAGGATTATCCGGGTGGGCAGCTCCTGCATTTTTACTGACCCCATAACTTTAGCATGAAGGCATTCCAAATCCTTCCCTCTTTTCTTCCAATCAACCGTTTATTGGTTTCACCAGCATAATGTCTTCTGGATTTGCTTGCTGGGAAGATTAGCTGTCTATTCTGAAACTGCAGAAAGGAACCAACAGCAAGGGAATGCATCTCCATATCTCAGAAGCCAAGAACATCACTACCCTTGATGCTATGAATCTCAGGGTGGCAATTTTGCCAGTCTTCCCTTGTACAGGTCTCCCTTAAACCAGCACACTATTGTGTTTGCAAAGGCCTGAACTACGATCTGAACTAGCATAAATCTGGAGAAATTTCACTGACTGATGGAGTGACTCTGGTTACTCTTACCCTGGGACTATTAAGCCATATTTTACAATCAACAATGGTTATTTGAACAACACTATTAACTCTCAACAGGTTTTTTATCACGTACAAACAATATTAGCAAAAAAAGAGACAAACAAAACAAAAAACAAAAATGCTCCTCAACTTATACGTCTTCCTTAACAAAAAAGAAAAACAGGCAGAAGAACAATTCTTTCATGGAATTGATTCTGTTTGACACATTTAAGCTACTGTCTGCTGAAAAAAAGACCATTTTAAAATAATTTTATTTCTGTGTGGCTAAACAGCAGCAGGTTCAGGCTTTGTGCATAGCAGGTGACTCACTCTTCAGGGAAGAACTCAAGGGTACGGCTGCCAGAGGAGATCTGGCACATGGTGTGGCTGCGACGCTGACTAAACCCAGCTGCTGTTGGAGACTTATAATGGATGTTCACTGATGGGTAAGTCCTCTTCGCAGGTGGGGGACTGGACGAAGAGCTGAACAGGCGGCTGAAGCTGGGGATGGTAAGAAATAGAGAGATATGAAAAGAGAAGAGCAGAAGGATAACACAAATTCAAAACAGGGAAGGAACAAGCCCAGAAGAGGTGCTCCAGGCCTTAAATGGAGCTGTCCAGGATTGAGTGCACCTGCTTTTAGCTCTAGAGATGGGAGAATGTTCAAGTTCAGTTTCATCAGTGGAGGCAATCCTGACTGAATCAGATATCTTGTGAGCAACGGCTTGGCCATAAATTGATTGTTAATGCATGTGTGTGTCCATTTTATCTACCTGCTCTCAGATGTTTTTAGTCTCCTGCAGTTCACACCAGGATTTCCATTTCACATGGACCAATGAAATTCCATTTTTGCTCCATCTCCGCTTACTACCAGTGGCAGAGTCCATCAGACTGGCATTTAAAATGACAGTGACAATAGCAATAGCACCATTTCCCTCCATTTTAATCTACACAGATCATCAAGTAACTTACAATTGCCAAATGGTAGATTTCTTCTTCTCCTGGACAGATGGGTGCTCCCGGGAAGCTCTGAGGACAAACATAAAACTTGTTAATTTCAGCATCATACCAAGGAAAGGTTTCTTCTTTTATCCAACTTTACGCCATCTAATTGGATGTTTCCACAGCTTGGATTCTAATTAAGAATTCATTTCAGCAGCATGGGTCAAAAGAAAACAAGAACTAAAGAAGTTTACAAACACTCATCACCAGTGATGACAGGACACCTGAAATGCTGTCAATTCAAAGTGATACCAATTCCAATCAACAGTACCAATGTCACAATCCTACAATAGTGATTAGGGGCTCAAATGTTATTTCATGTTTCAGCTGCAGCCACAGAGAGATTCATTAATCAGAGGCTGTTTTCTCCCCATGATTCCTCCCAGGTACAGCACCAGGAGAGAAGATGTGAAGGATCAGGAGACAAGCAACTACAGTTCTAAGAATTTTCTATAACTTACAACCTAGTTCTTTTAACTGGGCTCCATACATCAGAAGGCAAGACACCAGCAAACATGCTCCAAAACGCTGTTGTTCAGGAACTTCAGGCCTCACCTGATCATCTCTGTCCACCTGACAGCCTCCTGTAACTCCATCAGCCTCTCTTTGTATTGATTGCGTTCCATCAGGACGCGGGCCATCTCCACACGGGTGAAGCGGCGACGTTGGGCTATGGGAATGTTGTCCTGCAGGGGGGAGGAGCACTGCTTCAGCCAACAAGAGATGGAAGGGAATGGATGTTAGTACAGGGGAAGTCAGGAAACTAAACACCCATTTGTTAGTTTTCTTCCTGTCCTGCTTAATCCCTCCCACTACCCAAAAGCTCTAATTCTGGCAGCAGTTCTAGTCCCAAGAAGCACTAAGCACCATGTAACAGCATCTGTCACCTAGGAAGAAGTAGGTGGGAGGCACTGTTAGTTTTCACTAAGCAGATAAAACAGTGAGGTAGGGGAAATGACAGAATGGCCTTCCTCTAGTGACCTGGCATCACTGAACTCACCTGCTCACTCTCAGAGTCTGGCTGATTCCCTGGGGAAGATTCCAAGGGGGAGGTTCTTCCCACCAACCACTTGGTAGCATGCATAAAAGGATGTTTAAAATTCCCTTGTGCAGTTAATTTCCCAGCTAACCAGTGCTAATAACTTGCATATCAGGGTGGACAGACACAGAATCATGTATTAAAAGGATCTATCAGGGACAGGGAACTAAAGGCATTTGTAAGGGCAGGGTAGAACAATCTCCATGGTTTACTAAGCATAGAGCATGTGGAATGTATGCTCAAAAAGTTCCCTTACACTAGGTTTTTAATAGGCTGAAATATATTAATTGCTTCTAGTGCTTCAGCCCTCAAAGCCTAACAGCCAATGTTCTTTGTAGCTACCTGTGAAATTAGAAACAAGGAAGCATTGGAAATGCAAAATGCATGCATACAAAACTGCATTTTGGAAACTCATGAGGCATCCAGAGAGTTGTCTTGAGGCTCAGCAGTATTTCTTGCCCTATGAATATCCCTCAGGTGAGGTGCCCTGAAGGTCACAGAAGTGGGTCTTGAGCTGGCTAGTTCCTCCCTTCCAACTCCCAGTAATTTTACTGAT